ATGCAATAAACTTATTATTATCTTATTATCTATTATATTATTATTATCCATTTCCTTGTTTGCCCCCATTACGAACATAAATGAGTAAAGTAGTGAACCAGTTAGAGTTGGAACTAATAATATGTTCCATTATACACACACCACAAATTTAGTGTACTTAATATAATAATTGCTGAATGACCTTACATTAATCATTTTGACATTAAGGAAGCCATTAATGAAAACATTAATGAAATTGGTAGTTGCACAACTACCAATTTCATATGTTAATATCAAAATACTTTAGATTTTTATAATGAAAGTTACCTAGGGTTCCGTTTATAAAAATAAACTCTTAAAGGATTACTTTCTTGTCCTACTATCTGTCAAAATCATTCTTTGTTAGTAGCTTGTGAAGGATTCGGAAATTTAATTTCTATAATTTGATCAATTTATACTTTGCAGCTAATTTTAAACCTATAAGATGAGTGCCAGAATGAATAAAATTTATCACAAGCAACGAAAAAATGCAGAAGTAGTTAATTTGTTAGATCAAAAACAAAGTTGTTTAAAAAACGATTAAAAACTTATATTTTGCAGTAAGAAAATTCACTCTGAATTTTTAACTGCAAAGTTAAGTTTGTATTTAAAATACACTGGTCAGCAAATAAACCGAGCCACCCGCTACCTAGGAACTCTGATTCGATTTTCTCAAAAAGTATAAAACTTACAACTATCAAAGTTATACCTACAAAAAGTGCGTTTCATGGTGATTAAAATGACTAAAAATTAATTCGAAAGTACCGTCAACTCACATTGTAATCAAGCAACAACCACAATGCTAACGATTTGCTCTGTTTTCACCAGAGTTTGAAATTATCGTTCTTTTTCTCTACAATGAGGGTAGTCGGATATTTCTTATCATTTCTTTAGTTTTTGTCCATCGTTTGCTCAGACGCGTGTGTTTTTGCTACTTTTTTCAATTAATAATGGATACAACACCTCAGGAAGCAGCTCAAGCTGTAGCATTACTTCAAGCAGGCATTGCGCAACGTGAAGTCGCAGATCTTCGGTGCAACGAGTTTACAGACGATACCTAGAGACTGGAGCATTCGATCGAAGTCCAGGTACGGGCAGACCTAGGGCTACATCAGCAGCAGATGATCGTTATATCCACCTTACTGTTCTGCGAAATCGCCACCTCAACGCGGTTCAAGTCCAACAAAGTCTGCGTGACGCAGACGTGACGCCAAGTGGTCATAAGTTCAGATACCGTCAGAAGGAGACTTGCTGAACGGAACCTGAGCCCAAAAAGAGCTGCAACAGGCCCAGCATTAACGGTAGCACACCGTCGAGCACGACTTGAATTTGCTCGAGAGCATAGGGATTTGACATTAGAGCAGTGGAGTAATGTACTCTTCACTGATGAGACCAGGGTGAGTCTACATGGAAGTGATCGACGTCAGAGAGTATATCGTCGCCCTGGAGAACGTTATTCTCAGTGTTGCATCGAGGAAACTGTTGCTAATGGAGGAGGATCTGTAATGGTCTGGGGCGGCATTTCGTTAACAGCGCATACAGCGTTAGTTTTCATCGAACCGACGGGCCGTACACGTGGACTGACTTCTCATCGCTACATTACTGAAATCCTCGCAGACCATGTGGTACCTTACGCAGGATATATCGGACAGGATATGCAATTGATGCATGACAATGCACGGCCTCATGTTGCTCATGTGGTGACCCAGTATCTACGCGACGTCAGCATTCGTACGATGGACTGGCCAGCTCGAAGCCCGGACTTGAATCCGATAGAACACTTATGGGATGAGCTGAAACGTCGGGTTCGAGCCCGGGTACCTGCTCCAACAAGGCTTCCAGAGCTGCGAATCGCAATTGAAGAGGAGTGGAATACAATTCCTCAAGATTTTATCGTCAGGCTCGTAAGGTCGATGAATACAAGGATGCTGGCAGTTATCCGAGCAAGGGGAGGGAATACGGAATATTAATCAAAAACTTTTTTTTGATTTTATCTTTGTTTTTGGCTTTAATTTTTTTTTCACTTTATCATTACTAACGATTGTCACGACTGGAAAACGACTCTTCTTTGTAAAATCCTTAATAAACATCCATCCATCATCCATAAACATCCTTTCCATCCATACCAAAAGAAACCATTAAATATAAATTTTAACTTTGAAGGGCTTCAGCTGCAAGTCGTTAAGGAATTTAACTTGTTGGGCATAATTATAGATACTCATATTACCTGGAAAGCTCACATAAAAAAAAAATCGATCAAAAATAGCAACATTTTCATACGCTTTATGCGAAATTAAGAAGACGACAGACCTTTCTACTGCTCTTGTCACATACTACGCATACGCTTATTCTTGCTTCAGCTATGGCATAATCCTTTGGGGAAATAGTTCAAAGTTCAAATATAATATACTGAGTTTTATTATTATATAACATTGGCGACGAGGACGAACCATTATTGAAAAATATAGTAAAAATTAACAGGACTATCAAAAAAAAAAAAAAAATATTGTAAAATAAAAGTGCCGGCCGGCGTGACGCCATCTTTTCATAAATTGATTGCAATGCACATTGCAATAAAATCTGATGTCAGCTTCGGAACCAACTGAAAGTTTGGATAAAAAAGGTCAAAAAGATAGACTACAATTAGTAAGGGAAGGAAAGAGAACTTTCATTTATAAATGTTCAAAAAGTGAATTACTACAATTACTGCAAGAAGAAAATATCTCATTTATCAGTGACAGTGTAGAGAATTTGCGAAAAACATTGAGCGAACATTATAAAAGTAAGGAGAATTTAGTAGAAAAGAAACCAGAGAAACAAAAAACAAAGATGTTCATGTACGGCGACCTGAAAATTTTCGACGGAGATAAATGGGAAGTTTTCAAAGAACAACTCGAATGTTTCATTCTTGTTAATGACATCAGCGATGACAAGAAGGTGCCATTGTTATTAACCAAAATATCACCATCAGTATTCGAAACTTTAAACTACCTATGCTCACCACACACACCACGCACATACTACCTTTACCCTACAAAAAAAATTAATCAGAATTCTGACTAATATAAAAGAAACAGAGTCCTGCAAACCCCATTTCCAGAACCTCAAAATCCTAACTCTTCCATGTATTTATATTCTGGAAATGAGTAAATTTGTTCGAAAACACCCGTATATAATAATACTATAGTAAAAGAGAAGACAAAAAAATCAAATTCACACTAAGACATAAAAAAAGACTTAACCTTCCAACTTCCCAACTAACTATGCATTCTACAAGCCCCTTAGTTATGTCTATAAAAAATTATAATAAACTACCAGAAAAGATTAAGAACGGAGAAAAAAATAACATTTTCATTAATAAGTTAAAACTATTCCTCTTGCGAAAAAGCTATTACAGTGTAAAAGAATATATGGATGAAATAAACAATTCGTGACAATGCATCTAACAACATTATAAAACACTACACTTGTTTCAGGAAAAAAAAACATCACGAGACCATAGTCAAGCCTGACCAAAACCAATTGCAACAATTAACAAAATAAATCACAATAATACTAATAACCTTTATAACAAATAACACAAACTTAGTGCAATAAATAATTATTAAATATTTAAATAAAAATAAAATAATGACTATACAGATTAAATATATATAAATAATATATTATAAATAAATGTAGTAATAATCATTCCCCTCTCTCTCCCTTTTTTCTATGCTGTGCCCGACAGGGTCCATAATTGATACCTAGCTTAAGTTTTTACCAACTGTAAAATTTACATTATGGTAGCAATAAAGTATTGAGTATTGAGTATTGAAACACTGAAATATTGATTAAACCCAATGAGTTTCCCTTCATTTTAATCACCATGAAACGCACTTTCTGTAGGTACAACTTTGTTAATTGTAGGTTTTTTAGTTTTTGAGAAAATCGAATTAGAGTGCCTAGGTAGCGGGTGGCTCGGTTTATTTGCTGTCCAGTGTATATTCGGAAGAAGTACCTATATTCTTTGAGAATCTATTTCCAAAAACTGCCTACAAAGTGAAATTAGCATGGAATGCTCAGCGCATGAGTTTGACTTGCACTTATAGGTTTTTTTCGTAAAGGATCATGGGCCTTAAATTGTTTATTATCACTAATAAGAACACACTAATAAAGTACCAGTAACTAAATCAGCAAACCAGCGGAAGCGGGTAATTCATAGCGCGATTGCTTGTTAGTGGGAAAGATAACAATAGCTTGTTTTGTTTTTAACCATATTTTGTGTAAAATCTCGTTTTCTCAACGTGACATGAACTATTTCTACGAAAATGAACTATTTAAATTGTAAAAATCTACGTTCGCAGTGTTCTATAACAATTTCTCTTCAGCCGATGACGACAGACCGAAGGGAATTTTCACTCATTAATCGGCATTAGAGAAGAATTCTTTAAGCAAACATGCATAGACAGTCTGCATGGTTATAAGAAATTTGGAATACCATTAATTAATATGTAGGAAAATTGCAACAAGTTAAAATTCTTAAATAGTATGTGCTAAATGTTATAAAAATAAATAAAAACGAGTACGCGATAGTCGTCCAGTATATATTTTGACCTGACATAATACAAAAGTCTATACAATGATAGTTAAAGTTACTCTGGCCAAACAACAAACATAACATTCAAAAAACGGTACAAAACTCGACTGGCTATATCTAGTGATAAGTAATAGTGTAACAGTAAGTACAGTTTATGATCATAATCATCAACAGCCTTTAATAGTCCACTGTCCACTGGACAATATGGAGGAAAGAAAGGAGGTTTTAGGCTAGCATACCACGCTGGCCAGACGGGTTGGTATCAAGTATAAAATAAGTGAATAAATAGTCATACAAAAGTTACGTATACGCACCTGGGAATCCAGGTGCTTTTTTGAAGTGGTTTAAATTTTATATTAAGTATACAGCATAAAAATACCAAAGTAAGAAAAAATGTTTACTATCAAAAATTATAATTAATATCCCTACTATTGCTAAATATCAGTACGAGATAATTGAGCTCCTGCCCTCTTCCACTTTGAAAGTGCAGTGTGACGTTGGATGCGCCAATTCCACCTTCAGTGATAGTCACCTCCGTGTCTGTTCGTGACAGATCTCGAGCGATGATACCCTGTAAATACAAAGTTATTAATAACTGAAGCTAAGATATAGAGATTTATATCTGAATGCTATAAGATTAGATTAACTTATATTATCTAACAAAAAAAAAAGAAAAATGGGTATTACTACACATTCTAAATGTTTTACTTTTTTAGACTTGGTGAAAGAAGCTACAGTATACGATAGCTTGATTGTTTAATTAGTTGAGAATATTCTTATTTCATTAAGAATCACTGTTATATTCTAGATTGAGCTATAGTGCAATCAATTGTAATATGTACATATTTTTGTTTTATACACAAACAATATATTTTAATTTGTTATAAATTTGATTAGGTTAGCTTCCTAAAATATTACTGGGAGAAAAGTTTTCTTCAAACTTTTATCCGTGAAGATTAACCTTTAAGATCTTACCCTCCAACATTTTCCCTCATATTTATTTCCCTTGCCTAAAAGCACACAAAACATTGCTGACTTTTGGTATTAGCCTAGTGACCAGAGACCACACTTAGACCAGAGATTGTAGATACGATTCCCACCCTGGATAAATAATTGTATGATGTGTATGATCAATTGTTGTTTGCCTGGGTGTAATTTATGGTGTAACTAAAATATTATTATGTATGTGTTTAGTTATATATGTATAAGTAAATATATAAGCAGTCCGGTTTTAATAGTGCAGACTCTACCGAACTTAAGATCTTTCTGATGACTCTATCAACCGCAATCAAATTTTGTTTTGTCACCCATCCAGGACAAATAATTTTTTGATGAGCATTTAAATTTGTTTTGTGTAAGGGTGTAATTCTTCTATGCCTATCTCTAATACGTATGTATTGAGAAAAATATAAGTATGATTTTCAGCAGTCTGAAATTGAAAAGAAAAATTGATAAGAAAACCATCAGAAATGCTGTCCTACATGGATCTGAATATTAGCCAATAAAGAAAACGGATGAGAGACGCCTGCACGTAGTTGAAATGCGAATGTTAAGATGGAGGTGTGGAATAACTAGGATTGGCAAGATAAGGAATGAATACATTAGAGGAAGCATGAAAGTAGTGCCAATGGTTGAAGACTTGAAGAGAAACAGTATCCTGGTATGGGCACGTCCTTAAAGATGACCAAAATGTAGTTAAAAAAGTTTTATAGGTGTAAGTTGACGGATATAAGAGTAGATGGCCAAAGAAAAGATGGACTGGACTGTAAAAAAGATATGACTAGCAAGGGAATTATCATAATCTGACGAGTGATAGAGGTGAATGGAAAAAGAAAGTCATTGAAATATTTGACGGGCATGTTTGTCTAGTGGTTAGTGACCCTGACTGCTAAATCAGAGGTCGTGGGTTCGATTCCCATCCAGGACAAATGTTGTGTGATGTTGTGCTCATGTCATTTGTTCTGTGTCTGGGTGGAATTCATCTATAATATGTATGTATATAGAAATATATAAGTATGTTTACTATATATATATAGTAAGTATGTCTACACATTTGAAAGATTTTCTTGAGGTGATGTTCTTTTAATTCTGATATATTTTTAGTAAAGTGGTTAAATATAGGTCAATGACATAATAATAACTTTGAATGAATTTATAGGCAATAGCCTATAAATGCAATACAAAGTCTGTTTTGAGCACCGAGTAATATGACCTCATAAATTATTAAGTGATATAATAAGATGTAGTAACAGAATACTAGAGCTTTTGAACTTTGAATTGAGGATATAATTATGTAGGTGGCTTTAAATTGAACTCAGTACGGTGATGTAATCTGCTCCAGCGGACATTACTGCTCATCTTAATGAAATAATGCCCTCGTGTCCTTTTATGACACCGACACCGTGTATAGCAATCGTAAACACTATGATGTCATAGTTCCAGTTATCTATACTAATATATAAATATGTGACAGTATGAGTTTGCTTGTTTGTTAAGCTTTTAGGCCTAAACCAATCAATCGTTTTGCATAAATTTTGCAAGGGGTATTGAAACGAACATAGGGTACTTTCCATCCCAAAAATAGTACTACTTCCGAGAAATAAAAAATATAACATTACGAGTACAAAGCTACGAGCAAGAACAGAAAAGCAAGTTTCAAATAAAACGTTATTCACTAGACGTAGAACATTTATTGCAGATACCATAACATCAAAGCTAAAACAGAAATGATTTCATTTGCGTTTAAATTTGGATTTGCCCTGGAGAGGAAATGCTCATACCTACAGAGTCACGTCCTTGCCTTTGCGTCCGTCCGACCTAATGTTCTAAATGGAAATTTGGATTTGTCTCTTTGTTACGCCTTTAGGCCTGAAATACTCAACGTATCATCACGAAATTTTGCAAACACGTTGTCAAGATACGAAAAAGGGTATAGGGTGTTGTTCTTGACTAATACTGAGGAATGCTGAAGTATGACGGGTAAAAAGTTAGTACTGCGGTAAACCATACCAAAACAGTGCAAATTTTATTAGTTCGGTTAAACTAGTGCTGAAGTCTATGTTATGTTCTTTATCACTGGCACAAAGTACAATTTTTGTAAATTCTAGCACTGTTAACATTAAGTTGTATATTGTTTGATGTCAGCTGATTGTGCTTCTGAAAGACTGAACATGATGCTTATTTTTTTATTTCTTTTTTGTATGAAAGAGGGGGTAGACGTGCAGACGGGTCACCTGATGGAATGTGACTACCGCTGCCCATGAACTCTTGCAACTCAGGAGTCAGAAGCGCACTGCCTTTTACGAAGGAGTACGCTCTTTTCATGTAGGTTTGAAGGTCGTATCGGTCCGGAAATATCGGAGACGATAACTGAAGAATATAAACTTTTTCCTATTTCAAATTAAACCACTCTTCTTCTAAAGTGTCCCTAAGTAGAAAATATTTTTCTATAATTTGTTAGTAAAAGCTTTATTTTCTTTAAGTGAATATGAACATAGGTGAAGAGAATATACCAAAATAAATATTTATTTCAATAAATATGGTGTAAAATAAAAACATCTTTATTTTTTGTGACAATAAACTAAAATAAACAAACGTTGTTTACATAAAACGTTTTCCACGAAAAAGCTAAAGATAGTTAGAAATAGGAAATAATATTCGTCGGTAAGCGTATCATTTAGAACCGGTGGAACGGTAATTGAAATAAATAAAAATGTAAAAAAAAGTTTTTTTCTATAAAATGAAGACATTCAATCACATTTTTATCCCTGAATAGATATACATTAAGTTTCCCTCACGGAACGTTCGTGTCCTGGATTTACAAATTAACATAACGAGACTAGAATTCATGTAGGCGAAGCCGCCTTCGAAAGCTGGTCGACAATTAACGTTAAGAAAACGCTACCAATCACTAAGAAAGCTCCGAAACCCTTAAAATCTAATGAATAAATTCATTAGATCCAATCTAGGATTAGAAGGTAATGTATCGATTACTGATGAAGATTTCAATAAATATCAATTTAGTTTTTAAAGTTAAGCCACTGAAGTAAATTTGATTATTGGATTTAGATTTAGACTACTAAGTTGAAAACTTCAATAACTTTTCTATAATTTGAATGATTAGTACACATTAATTTTAAAATGGCTTCCCCATCTTAATTTTTCATCTATGATGTTCATAATATTGCATCGACGTCTAGTTAAGTTTACAAGAAGTAAACTCTCATGCCCCGAGACCAGTCGTCATTCCCTATAATAATAAACTTGAATAGGCCCGCTTAATTTATATTGTCTAACGTATCGTGGCGTAAATAAGATCGTTTACCATTGCGCCCACGGCCATGTCATTATTTACTCTTATTATAGCATTCACGGGAATGCAGGCAGCTGACACTATGCTTTTCTCTCAATTCGAGATTAGCATACAGTCGAAACACGTACAAACATACATTATTTCGTGGGTTTATTCAATATTTACACGCAAGATCGTTTCCGAAGCAATTTGCGACACGCCATACGTTGTGTGGGTTTTTGAGTGTTCATCAAAGTTTCATCAAAGCCAAGTGGGCACAGACCAGTTCTACTGCAAAAAATCTCTTTTTAGATGCCGCACAATTTGATAAATGTTTGCATGTTATTTTGGAATAGTTCTACACATATATGCTCTTGAACAGTGTCGCGGACATTAATTTACCTATTTATTTTTGGTGGGAGTAATAAAATTCAAATATGTATTATTATTGTAGCTTAAGTTTTAAGTTACAGGCTAGCCACAAATAGTGTTACAGAGTAATAATTTAAGCAGGTTTATATCGAATGTAAACAATAAACGTACTGTCAATAAATCAAGTACTAAATAAATTTCGTAGCTAATAGAAATGTGTAGCTGAGCAGGGTGTACCTTTAGATATTAATTACGGTTCAATTCGGAGCATGATTTAGAAGAAATGCAAGAGAATAATAAGACCTTGATACTATCTCACCCACGGCAATCTGATCCTAAACTAAGAAAAACCTGTACTATGGTAACCATTCTGGTGATAAACATTCATATTTATTTCTAAATACATACGTATTATAGATAGGATACAGAACAAATGATCATGCTCATCTCATAATTATTTGTCCTTTAGCGGTTAGGGTCATTAACCAGTAGGACAACAGGCCCGTCAATATAGAATACCGCTATTCTTCAACCAAAAGACATGTTAAATTATAAATATATGTAGTATCTATATATTTAATACTTAATTACGTAAAGTCAATACACGTAAAATTTTCAATTTGTTTATATTTTAAGATTTCTTACCTTGATAATTCTTTCCTTGGGATCTTTGTAAGCATAATCCTTGTCCCTTCTAATAAGCGGTAGACTTCTGTATTTAACTTTATTTGTGGATATTAACAAATTGTTCGCTCTCGAACCGAATGTGAAGTCCTTCCCTTCATTAAGATTAACGCACACAAGTAATGCACACACGATAACTAATCCGTAATTCATTTTAATAGTGTTTAAGCATTTTTAGGTTATGTGTGTTCTCGTAAGAACTGCGAGTAGTACTGTCTCGTGTGTGAGGAAAATATTATATCGATGTTCACATCATCTGACCTTGTCCCGTTCTAACTATAACTATATCTGTATATGACTTAATAACTCGCGTGTCTCTCCAGTGTATATGTCTGCAACAAAAACAGAATTACATTGAGGTTATAGGTGGGTGTGAAAATATGGGCCTTAATTTTAAAAGATAAATCAAACTGAATCCGGACGTCATTTAGACATCGTTCGAGACAGCTTTATATTGCGGACTAGAAATATCTTTCTTTGATATTTTAACAGAACTTATAGATTAGTTTGAGCTTCTATTGTCATTTAATACTTGTTTGGTTAATCCAAATCATAATAATTTTTGAGTTTTATTTGCTGAATACAGGTTATATTATATTATCACCTACAATATTGATAATTCAAGCTACATTCTATAACTTTGAAATAGGTCACACGTAATGGAAGAATATATTATGTTTATAAGAACCAGAAGGAATACCCATTTCTAAACATTTTACTTTTAATAGATCCTCAAACCACAATGTTAAGACTAACTGCTTACACGGTGAGTTTCGAGCTTTGCATTTAAAATAATTACTGGTTGTACACCTACAAGACGACTGTGCATAGAGTTAGGACGTCTACGCATTAATAAACTGGTGCCGCAAGGGACTGAGGGCCGACTACTGAACACTACTGTACTAAGATAAATATTGCTGCTGGTTTATGAGAATTATGAGCATTTACGATGAACTGTTCTTTAGCGTTGTGGTAGTGTTAGAACCTGTCTCTATTATGTTCGGTAAGTATCTATTATTATGTTGTTGTATTTTTATTCGTTAACAATAGAATTGCGATTCACTTCATTTTATCACCGTAAATTACATCCGACTCGCTTTTTGGAAGGCTCTTTAACAGTTCTAGGCTAGGTAGCATAAAATATATAGCAACTTTATGCGTGTGCGCATATTTATTATAATAGTTTAAGGTCTCATATCTTACTTACATGAACATTTGAAGAAGGTCTATAGGTTTTTAGGAATTTAATAGTTTGAATGAGGTGCAACCTCCTCCGTTATATTTAACACCTCAATAAGCAGTACCACTATGGGTCGCTCTTATACTCGGAATATTATATTAACCTAATTATTTTTAAATATAGCTTTAAATTGTATGCAAATATATTCGAGTCCAGTGAGGCGACTTCCACATACAGTGAAACAAAAACATACTACAGTGCCATCTAACGAAGAAACACCAAACTACGGAGTAACTTCTAATACTGTATCGCGATATGAATAATTTATACAGATTTATATAACTCCTCAACATCAATCGTTGGGTCGCGGCCTGCCAGCTATGATTACCTTGTTCCGTCGGAGGATCCTCCCTTTGTGATGGAGGGATATGACAACCGTTCCTCCACATCGCGCTGAAAGCGGTATTCTATTTTTAACCTTATATGACTCCTAAGAGATGCTGAATTTATTACATGAGGTATCATCGAAGGGTCAGTAAACTATAAGTGATACTATTAGCCGGGTCCGAGAATCGCTTGAAATCGGTCCCAGTGCATGTTTGAGAATAAAATAATTGTACAAGGAACTGATACTATTTCCACATCCTACAGCTTGCGTAAATTTCTTTTCACGTAAAAGTTTCGTTTGAAAGATGCATGTTGATTGATTTACGATTGAATGGAATTCATTTTTGTGGGCAGAATATTGTATATTTCAAACTATACTTCAAAACTACAGCTATAACTGTTCAAATAAAACATTTATTTATGTATATTACTGTCCACTGTCCGTGTGGTGACGGATTAAGAATACAGTGTTCCTGTACCCCTGCCACCCCTATTCATCCCGTGGTAAGGTCTAACTAAGGGAGCAAACTATGTGTAGTTTGCTCTCAAAGTCGGCTTTTAGGGCAACAGCACTGCAAAAAGAAAGAAAACTTGAAACAAACCTTATACCAACCCGTCTGGCCAGCGTGGCATAGTAGGCCAAACCTCTTTTCTAAGGACATGCTTATGTCCAGCAGTAGACTGTTATAGATTATGTTGATTGATTGATAAATTATTAAAAGTTTTTATCAATAAATTAAAAATAATAGTAATATAAAATAATTAAAACATTTACATTATTTACATATAAGCATCGAAAAATTCCTTCGCATCATCGCCTACTAACCTCGCCTCGCCTCGCCTACAAGACTGGCAGCATTGCCACGTTGAATGGCAATGCTAATTCTCTGTGTAAGAAAAAGGCCGGCCTACTGATCACGGGAAGTGTTGTTCAGTTGTTTATATATCTCTCGGATGCCATGATCATAGCGTCTCGCCTCAAACTGTTTAAATATAAAGTAACGAGCATATTTAGTGAATTTGAATTAAGCAAAAGGCTATTTATTTGAAACTAGCTGTACCCTACCACGCTTCGCTGTGTCTCATTGTGGATGCAAATTGATCAGAAATGAGGAACAAAACACACGTCAAAATAGATAAAAACAATCTTTGAAGCGGTTCCTGTATCGTGTCAAAATTTGAGCTCAATCGGTGCTTGCAGAACTTTTTGAGTTTTTGAAGCGTACACAAACTAACTTAACATTTATATATATATATATATATAGATTGAATATATTAGAATTTAAATATAGAACGTGATATAAATGTGGATATCTAACTGTTGGTAAAGGAATGCGAAATGACTCGGCACTTTCAAGGCACGCATAATCTTTAAAGGGGTGATCTTTCGGTATGAATGTAGCTTTTTCGACTTAATGGTTTTTCTTTATTTTTTAAAGTTAAATGTTTCGCCTTTTGATGACCAAAAGGTGTGGCGCTGCACCTGGTCACACAGATGACTATATGACTAGGTACAGCGCCACACTATAATACAACTACGAGAAAAGGGCTAAAATTTATAGTGACACCGGCAATACGGTTGACACACACATCGACAGCGGAAAGGAACTTAGTAGCTAACTTTGCAGGTCTGTCTAGATATATCGATGATCTAAGGATACGCCGTAGATGTCCGATACTCGGCTTAGTCTCACAAGGTTGTCATCCATCGCTGTACGTGACGGTTGTTTCCTCTATGTCAACACAAACTTTAACCTTGACGTTTGGTATGTATTTCTGGGTAAATATTCGTTCCTTTTAATTCTTTAGGTTTTTGCGTTATTCACATCCTGCAGAAATTAAATTCACTATTGGTAATTGTTCTAAAATATTCAATTATTTAAATCAAGCTCATGAAATACTAAAAAGTATTTAATTATTGTTTATTTTCAAAGAATGATTTATTTTTCAGGTAATAATCCTGTTGCGGTTAATGACGTTGAAGAAAAAAGAGCGTCGAATCGACCATCTATTTAACTCAATCTCTAAGTATGTCTGTGGCATAACAATAACCTAATTCATTTATATCTTCAATGATAAATTGCATTATACAGGTAGGCCACGTGAAGACAATACGTAGATGACTGAAGGTAACCTTAGTGGAAAATAGAAATTATAATTATGCAGTTTGTTATTTTAAAGTACCTGTATGCTTACATTTAATATATCTCTATTAGTTAGTTCTTGGGTCGGACCAAATGTTTGTATTATCTGCAAATACTTGTTTCGGAGTTTGGGTGTTTTTAATGTATTTCTAGAATGTTAAGTATTGACGGATCTTTTTAAAAGATCTTAGTGAGTCTTTGCCATTCTATTGTTTATATGATTATATTACTATGATTATATTAATTATTAAGCAATTCTTTTGTTGCTTTCACCGAGTATATGGCCGAAGATCCATCCTTCCGTCCCCCACCCCAGGGCGGGCGACTACGCAATGTCGTCTCTGGTCACAAATGTCCATGGCCGTATTACATGGCCATATTACAAATGTAATAGTCACTTGTAATTAGGTAATCTGGATGATCGTTTCACACCTGCATCGTCAGAAACATCGACTCGTAAGTTATATATGTACTGAAGGTTTAGGTTATCTATAACAAAATTCTTTAAATCAACAAAGATCAAAGATAATAAAAAAAGTTGTTACTAGTAATTGAATCACCCCTTTTTTGAGGCTTTGTCTCCATATTTATGCTAACAATACCCCAGTTGTTATTTATGCGTTTTAAGTATGAAAGCTTTGCACATTGGTATGGCTAAAACTATTTGCAAAACAATTTTCATTACGAAACGCGCTACACTGATTTTTCTGTTTATGTATATTACGTCAATGCAATATAGCAGAACTTTCACATAAATACGGAGTAAGCAAAGTTTATTAGCCGAGACAAATGCATAAACATTTTTTATTTATAAAATGATTAAAGAATTGAGTGTGACCTCAAGCACTTTGTGTTTGATAACTATCTTTGTTGTAAAAAGAAATAACCGTATAAACATAACCATACCCTACCGACCGGTTTTAATTTCTTCTCCCGTGGCATTTCCACCTCTGAGCAACAACTTTTCAAAAACACTCTACTTTCAAAAAATTTAATTGTGAAAAACATTGCTACAATTCACTCGAAACCGAAAACAAAATACAACAAGTATCCCTTTTAATTACAACTCTGTACACATCTATATACAGATCTAGACAGCTACACAGATTGCGTAGCATAAATCTCGCAATTGAAGTACAGGATTTGCGTGTGTTGGCCGTTGACAAGTGCGTGTGCTTGGATGTTATTTCAGCCTGCCACGTCATCGCTTTGATCTCCCTCGACTTTTTGCCGAACACACGTTTAATGTGACGACAAATAACTCAAACAGGAACGCGATATTCTTTTTGATTTTATCAAAAGTGTGCACAAGATGTTCTCTCGAGTTTTAAATGCGAACACTTCATTAGTGAGATCACCCGCGCTCCCGGTTTGTTTGCAAAAGATCTCAGAGATTCGCATTTCAATGTTTGCTTTTTAAGCGAGGGAATATTTTAATTTAT